CATAGGTTGACACTCAACCACTGAGCCACCCGGTTGGGCAAACTGACAACCTTTTGATGCACAGGATGATGCTCAACCAACTGAGCCACACTGGCCGGGCTGTTTTCTGTGTCTCACAGCATTGGGTAGGACCTCTAATGCTGTGTTAAACGGTAACAGTGGTAGTGGGCATCCTTGGTTTCGTCTCAGCAGTAAGGGAAATGTCTAAATGTTTCCCATTAGTGATAATATAGCTCTTTGTTAACAGAGCACGCTGTATCTCCCCAAAGCCAAGAGGTAGACAATGGGTCTACTGAGGCTTGCTAACGCTTGGAACGGAGCTAACGAGGAGGGGGGTGTCTGTCGGTAGAAGCGGAGCGGGGCTCAGCTCTGAGCTGCAGTAAAGCCCTGACCGCCCCGGTGACCCCGGCTTCTCTCCTCGTCCTCAGCCGGGCCCTCCCCTGGACTCATCCTTCCACCAAAGCTTGGAGACAGATGTAAGTCCTCCCGGATTCTACCCCTGCTGAGTTCCAGGGTTGGGGAGAGAATATTCCAGGTGTGTGTGTGTGGGGGTGGGGGGGGTGGAGGCGAGGTAAGAGCCAGATCTGGTCCCGTTCTCCTTTTTCAGACCCTGCTGACCAAGTTGTGTGGGCAGGACCGGCTCCTGAAGAGGCTGCAGGCGGAGATAGACCAGAGACAGGAGGAGAAGGTGGGGCTCTGGGCTGGGAAGACACCCAGCCCCCCCACCTCCCCCCCCCCCTCCGTCCTTAGCCCTTCCTGATCCCCAGCATGTGGGGTGACAAGGATGTGGGAGGACACTATTTCTCTCTCCCTGGGGCTGGGTGTGACTTCAGAAGGTTAATCTATTTTATTTTTTTAAAAAAATATGTTTTTTATTGAATTTACAGAGAGGAAAAGAGAGGGAGAGAGAGAGAAATATCAATGATGAGAGAGAATCATTGATCGGCTGCCTCCTGCACGCCCCCTACTGGGGATGGAGCAGACAACCCGGGCATGTGCCCTGACCAGGAATTGGGTTGTGACCACCTGGCTTATGGGTTGATGCTCAACCACTGAGCCACACTGGCCAGGCGAAGGTCATCCTTTTCCCTCTCGGTGCAGGAGCAGCTAGAAGCAGCCCTGGAGCTGACCAGGCAGCAGCTGGGCCAAGCCACCAGGGAGGCTGCGGCTCCCCCGCGGGCCTGGGGGCGCCAGCGCCTCCTGCAGGACAGACTGGTCAGTGTGAGGGCCACTCTTTGTCACCTGACTCAGGTGAGCATCTGGGAAGGGACCCACCCTCCCAGGGGGCCCCAGGGCTCAGCAGGTGGTTCCTGGAGGGGACCCAACCCCAAGGACTCATGGGAAGGTAGTTCTTGAGAATCGCCCCCTCCCCGAGTTTTAACCCCGTGCTCTTGTCTGTCCCAGAGCGTGAGCAGCCAGGAAGCTGCAGAACGTAACTGAGTGGCTTAGGAGGGTGCGTTTGATAAGAATTCCTGGCGTGGAACCTCAGCTCCCACTCACGGGAGCTGTGTGAGCTTAGAAAAGTTACTTAACCCCTCTGGGCCTTAGATCCCATCAGATGCCTCTTAAACTCGAGGTGGAAAATACAGTATTTGCTTCATAGGGTCACTGTGGAGATTCCATAAATATACATAAATAAACGAATGGATATTTAACACGTAGGTACCTGGCATCTGATAAGCACTAGTTAAGTGTTAGCTATAAATATTATCCTCTGTAAAATGGGAACATGAATAGCACCTGTAGCACAGACTTAAATGGGTGCCAAGAACGGCGCCTAACACACATGCAGTGCCTAATACATATTCGCTGCTATAATTATTACTACGGGTGAGGAGGTTTCTGCTGCCCAGGAGTGCATCGGGGTGAGGTCTGGACTAGCCCAAGGACTCAGCAGGTGTGCCCCAGGGCAGCACAGAGGTGAGGGTTCAGAGACAGCTGTTCTCTCTCTCCACTAGCAGCTCTTGGGAGGGGCAGGTTCCTTATAGGCGCGGGGGTTCCCGGTCGTTGGAGCCAAAAGGCCTTTGGGAATTGTAGTCCAGGTGCTGCCGCAGGACCCCAGGCCCAGGCTTGCCGTCTTCCTCCCCATCTGGGAACATTGGGAGTAGGGACGATCTAGCGGGCGGGCATGCTAACCCTGTGTCTCCCCTTTCTGGGGCCCCAGGAGCGAGAGCGGGTTTGGGACACGTACAGCGGCCTGGAGCAGGAGCTGGGCACCCTGAGAGAGGCCCTGGAGTACCTGCTGCACCTTGGGTCCCCCCAGGTACGGACGGACGTCCCTGTCCCAAGCCCTCAAGCCCCATCCTCCACTGCAGGTCCACCTGGAGACCCTTGGGGCATGGAAGCCCCGCCCACAGATTGGAGAACTTCCCACTTTATCACAAGCTCCTCCCCTTCTCTCATTTCCTTCCTTTTCTTCTTTTTTTCTATAATCACCCGAGGATATGTCTGTGGATTTTAGAGAGAGGAAGGGCGAGAGAGAGAAACATCAATGTGAGAGAGAAACATTGATCGTTTACCTCTCCTATGTGGCCCAACCAGGGATCGAACCCCCAACCTAGGTATGTGCCCTGACCGGTAATCGAACCCACGACCGTTAGGAGTAGAGGACGATGCATCAACCAACTGAGCCACACCAGCCAGGGCTGTTTCCTTTCCTTTTAAATCCCTTATTATAGCCCTAACCGGCTTGGCTCAGTGGATAGAGCGCCGGCCTGCGGACTCAAGGGTCCCAGGTTCGATTCCGGTCAAGGGCATGTACCTTGGTTGCGGGCACATCCCCTGTGGGGGGCGGGCGGGGTGTGTGTGCAGGAGGTAGCTGATCCCATGTTTCTGACTCCCTATCCCTCTCCCTCCTTCCTCTCTGTAAAAAATCAATAATAATGTATTAAAAGAACAACGACATTGACTTCTACTCTTAAATGTGTACTTACAGATTTAAGCCCTGACTTCTTCATATTAACCTCTCCCAACTTCTTCCTAAAATCCACCATGTAACACTAACCTCCCCTAGTGGTGTTAAATATTACTTACCACCAGCAATGTATGAAGAAAATACTAAATACATCACAACCAAATTGGGTTTGCTATGGGAATGCAAGGTTAGTTTTAACACTTGAAAATCAGTCCATGTATTTCACCACATTTGGCAAAATAATAGGGGGAAACCACATGGGTGTCTCAATAAATGCAGGGGGGAAAGGACAAGATTCAACACCCCTTCATGATAAAAGCTCTCAGCAAAGTAGAAATAGAAGGGAAGTTCCTTAATCTGATAAAAGGTATTTATAACAAATCTACAGCAAACATTGTAGTGGTCAGTGAAATATGGAAAACTTTCCTCCTGATATCTGGAATAAGACAAGGGGTTGCCCTAGCCGGTTTGGCTCAGTGGCTAGAGCGTCAGCCTACGGACTGAAGGGTCCTGGGTTCGATTCCGGTCAAGGGCACATGCCTGGGTTGTGGGCTTGATCCCCAGTTGGGGGCGTGCAGGAGGCAGCCGATCAATGATTCTCTCTCATCATTGATGTTTCCACCTCTCTCTCCCTCTCCCTTCCTCTCTGAAATAATAATAATAATAATAAAAAGACAAGGGTGTCTGCTATCACCAGTTGTAGTCAACATTGTACCAGAGGTTTAGACAGTACAAGTATGAAATAAAAAATTAGGTATAAGGACAAGAAAGGATGAAGTAAAGCTATTTTTATTTACAGATGACACGACTGTGTGTATATATGTAGAATATCCAAGTAGTTTCCAGCTCTCGCCGGTTTGGCTCAGTGGATAAAGCACCGGCCTGCAGACTGAAGGGTCCCAGGTTCGATTCCGGTCAAGGGCGCATGCCTCAGTTGCAGGCTTCTCCCTGCTCTGTTCTCCCCGGTCAGCGTGCATTCAGGAGGCAACTAAATGATGTATTCCTCTCACAGTGATACCATTTCTGTCTTTCCCTCTCTCTTTCACTGTCTCTGAAAACCAATGGAAAAATATCCTCGGGTGAGGATAAATAAATAAGTGCACACGTTTTTAACAACAAAAAACAAACCAAAAAAACCCCACAAAATAATTTCCAGGGGCACTATTAGAATAAGCATATTTAGCAAGGTCACTGAACGCCAGGTTAGTATCAGTTGTCCTCATGTTTGCTAGTGCCAAACAATTAGTAAATAAACAGCAGTTTGTTTTTTGAAAAACTATTTTTTATTGATTTCAGAGAGGAAGGGAGAGGGAGAGAGAAACATCAATGATGAGAGAGAATCATTGATCGGCTGCCTCCTGCACGCCCCCTACTGGGGATGGAGCCCGCAACCTCAGCATGTGCCCTTGGCCAGAATCGAACCCGGGACCCTTCAGTCCGCAGGCCGACGCTCTATCCACTGAGCAAAACCAGCCAGGGCCATAGTCCATTTATGACCATAAATACGGCCCAGCTGGTTTCAGATCCTGCCTGTGGCCTATCAGCTTTAACCCTCTTGCATTTTCCCACCCCCAGGACAGAACGTCCGCTCAGCAGCAGCTGTGGATGATGGAAGACACCCTGGCAGGTCTGGGGGGCCCCCCGAAACCACCCCAAAGCACTGAGCCTGACTCCCCGTCTCCTGCCCTCCAAGGCGAGGAGTCTTCAGAGAGAGAGGTGAGGTTTACACACCTCTCTTTCCATGCCCAGCTTCCTGCCCCACCTGCCCCTGGCCTAACGCACCACCCACTCACCTCTTCCCCTCTCCTTTGACCAACTAACCAACCTCAGATGAGTATCCTAAGCTGTGGAAGCCCCAGTTTCCTTATTTGTTACATGTGAGCGTAAGCCAGGGGTGTGCTGGACCCACTCCCCACCCCCAATGCCGCGCCCCCCAAAGACCAACTGCAGGCATCACTTCGCAGCTCCACATTCAGTGACGTCCTGTTGAAATCGACCACAGTGGGACTATTTACACCACGGTAATTGGCAAACACACAAACCAGGGCTGTTTTCTCCCAGAGAGGCATCGCTGAAACATTGACCAGACACTCTGATCAGAACCCCCACCTTGCGGAGCTCTGTAAGGAGGAGAAAGGATGCCTGGGGAGTGCCTGACACAGAGTCAGCCCCCGGGGGCAGGAGCCACTATTGTCTCATCGGGATTAGGGCCGCTGCCTGCCTTGAGCTTCGGAGCAGGCATGGAAGAGCCCTAGGCTCAGACCCCAGCCCTGCCTTCTTGGTGACATCAGTCATTGACCGAATTCTCTGAGCGTCAGTAGAATAAGAATAGGCGTCTCATAGATTTATTGAGGGGATTTAATAAAACAGGAGAAGTACTGAGCACCATGCCAGATGCATCATCCTTATAAAACCCCCCACTTATAATGCCCCGCCCTGTGCCAGGCACCATTCTCAGGGCCTTCCATGAGGTTTTAATCCTCATAGAAGAAGTTTAAATGTGGCCGAAACCGGTTTGGCTCAGTGAATAGAGCGTCGGCCTGCGGACTAAAAGGTCCCGGGTTCGATTCCGGTCAAGGGCATGTACGTAGGTTGCGGGCACATCCCCAGTAGATGTGCAGGAGGCAGCTGATCGATGTTTCTCTCTCATCGATGTTTCTGACTCTCTATCTCTCTCCTTTCCTCTCTGTAAAAAAAATCAATAAAAAGATATATAAAATATTTAAAAAAAGTTTTTTTAAAAAAGGAGTTTAAATGTGGCCCAGAGGGGTCGAGTAACTTGCCCAAGATCACACAGCTAATGAACGGCCGGGCGGAGGTTGGTCATCCAGCTGCTGGTTTTCGATCTTAATCCTATTGCGCTGGTCTCAGTTGCCAGGTGCTTAATACGTGGTGATAATAATGATGCTGATAATCATGATTCCTCTTCCCCCACCCATCCAGAGTCTGCCTGAATCCCTGGAACTGAGCTCACCCCGGTCCCCAGAGGCCGACTGGGGGCGGCCCCCCGGGGGAGACAGGGGCCCTGCCAGCCCTCGCTCAGGTGAGCACCCTGGGCCAGGAGGGACACGCATGGCACCCCCTGTCCTCACCACGCCCTGTTCTGCCCTTCCAGGTGTTGGATCTCCCAGGATCTCCCAGGCTTCTAGCCCCGAGGGTCGCTGCCCTCCCTCCCCACAGCCAGGAGCCAAGGTAGGCAGCCTATTGGCCCCTCCGGCCCATCCCGTAACGTTCCCATCTGGTCAGCACGGATCACCCACTCTCGGGGGAAAGGCTGGGAGAGGGGGTTCTGAGGCCACAGCCCAGATCAGAGGGAATGTGACTTAAGAACATTGGGATTACCTTTTGTCTCTGCCACGGCTAAGCTGTGTGACTTCGGGCCAGTTACTAAACCTCTCTCTGCCTCCATTTTCTCATCTGCAAAATGGAGCTGATAGCAGTGCCCACCACCTAGAGCTGATGTGAGGATTCAAACTAGATGAATGCCCAGAAAGGGTTGGAAATAGTGCCTGGATATAGTAAGGACTTCATTCATTCATTCATGTATCTATTCATTGACTCAACAAATACTGATTCAATATCCTCCTCACTGTCCGATAAGGTAGCCAGTAGCCACATGTGTCTGTTTAAATTTAAACGAAAATAAAAATTCTCTCACACTCACCACACTGCTATTGCTCAGGACCAGATAAAACATTTCCATCACTGAAGAAAGTGCTCACGCACAGAGGTGTTTAGGCGCTGAAGTCGCAGATGTGAACAAAATGAGAAAAAACACTTTTTTTCCCCTTATGAATCTGGTGTTCTAGTGGATGTCAGAGGCAGACCATAAACAGCCAATTTACTGTAGCCCTGGCTGGTGTGGCTCGATGGTTAGAGTGCTGGCCCACACACCAAAGGGTTTCGGGTTTGATTCCCGGTCAAGGGCATATATCTGGGTTGCAGGTTCAATCCCTGGTTCTGGTCAGGGCATGTTTGGGAGGCAACCAATTGATGTCTCTCTCTCTCTCTCTCCTTCCTTCCTGTTTCCCTTCCACTCTCTAAAAATCATTGGGGAAAAAGTGCAAAATTTTGCAGATTCTAGACCGGTAATATGGTGCATACACTGTGTATTTTATATAAAATCTCCAGTGATGCCTGGCCCAGCATCCTTAACCAAACACATTAACATTTCTTCAATAAAATGTATGAATATTCATATTAAATGGGATAAAAGCTATAAATAACATCTCATTTAAATGTCGTTTTTAAAAATAGCAATAATCTACTAAGTGAGCAAGTCAGAGTAGAATAAAAATAGAAATATTAGGCACTTTTTATTTCTTTTTAAAAAATATTTGTATTGATTTCAGAGAAAAGAAGGGAGTGGGAGAGAGAGAGAGAAACATCCTATATAATAAAAAGGAAATATGCAAATTGACCCTAATAGGGGAATGACGGGTCGCTATGACAGGCACTGACCACCAGGGGGCAGGCACTCGATGCAGGAGCTGCCCCCTGGTGGTCAGTGCGCTCCCACAGGGGGAGCGCTGCTCAGCCAGAAGCCGGCTCATGGCTAGCCAGTGAAGGATGTCCAACTAACAGCTTAGGCTCACTCCCTGCTGTTAGACATCACCTGAGGGCTCCCGGGTTGCCAGAGGGCGCATGCTGGGCTGAGGGACCCCGCCCCCACCCCATGAATTTTCATGCACCGGGCCTAATAAGAATCATTGATTGGCTGCCTCCTGCACGCCCCCTACTGGGGATCGAGCGCACAACCTGGGCATGTGCCCTGACCAGGAATTGAACCGTGACCTCCTGATTCATAGGGTGATGCTCAACCACTGAGTCACGCCCCCTGGGCTTGGCAGGACAAGCCTGATGCCCACTAAGACATGGGCAGATGACCGATCCAAATAGGGTGTCACGAAGGCCAGGGAGCTGCCACCTGTCCTCTCCCCCCTAAGCTTTGAGGTGTGGCCACTCCAGGAAAAAATCCCAAATTCCCTTACTTGCTAGACATCTCTCGACGGAGCCCTCTAGCGGCCGGGCCCTGTGGAAAGTGTTGGGGGGCCAGCCACGAATGAGTCTGATGGAGGGAAGGCACGAATGCGATCTTCATACGAGTCTGACAGCAACAAGCCATTTCACAGGGGCAGCATTGGGAAGCCTTTTATTTTTTAAAAAATATATTTTATAGATTTTTTACAGAGAGGAAGGGAGAGGGATAGAGAGCCAGAAACATCAACGAGAGAGAAACATCGATCAGCTGCCTCCTGCACACTCCCTACTGGGGATGTGCCTGCAACCGAGGTACATGCCCTTGCCCAGAATCGAACCTGGGACCCTTCAGTCCGCAGGCTGACGCTCTATCCACTGAGCTAAACCAGCCAGGACTGGGAGGCCCTTTAAAGGATAGGTAAACTGAGGCCGGGTGAGTGTGGAAAGGTTTGGCCATGCAGGAAAGTCCAGCAGAGGGACCAGCATGGAGGTGATGGTGATGCAGAAACAAGGCGGAATGTATTCCTTTGCTTAAGCCAGGCAGACCCGGAGAGTTTAGGGATTGGTCGCCCTTAAGCTGGGGGAGGCTTTGTGTCTGTTGCTGATTGGCTGGTTTTCAGAAACGCGGGGCCAGCCCCGATTGGCTGGCTGGCTGGCTCTCAGAGAGGCGCGGTTGGGGCGAGGACCTGACCTAGCCGACTTGAGAGCACTTCCGGTGCTTCCTTGTTGTCATGGATACCAAACAATCGGTCTTTCCCGGGAAGGGCGCGGTGTGCAGCACGGACAGGGGTGGTGGGGGCTGCTTCGGGGAATGGCTTCTTCCGCTCCCGGCCGGGCAGTTCCGCGCCGGCCCGGGGGGCGCAGGCAGTGCAGAGCCGAGCAGGAGAAGGACATGACCACGAGGTGGCAGTAGACACACGGGCTTTGTTGACCACGTTCGGACAGGTTTGCCCGTGGGTGGGAGAAGCCAGGACCTGAGACCCCGAGTGATTGCGTGGGAGCCACTGTCCAAGGAGAGGGGGCGGGGGAGGGCTGAGAAGGGGATTAAGGGGCAGGGGGATAGCACTCAGGGCACAGGGAGGCTCCTTAGGCGGCAGCTGCTTGGGGTATATTTTCTCTCTCTTTTCCTCCCTTGTCTACCCCTTGGTGGCCAGTGCACGTCATAGCAACTGGTCATTCCACTATTAGGGTCAATTTGAATATTACGCTTTTATTATATAGGATGATTATATAGGATATACACACACCCTAATTCAATAATATATATATATATACACACACACACATATATATTAGAGAGAGGGAGGGAGGAAGAAAGAGAGAAACATCGATGTGAGAGCACAACATTGATCGGCTGCCTTCTGCACCCCCCATACCAGGCCTCAAGGCCCCAATGAAATCCGGGCAGGTGCCCTGACCAGGAATAGAACTGGCAACCGTTTGGTGCACGGGATGGCGCCCAACCAACGGAGCCACACTGGCCGGGGCCGCTTGGAGTCTTTTATAGCTGCAGGTTCACCTTACCTCCGGCTAGCAGATGCTGGGCACAGCTTCCTGGAGTATTCAAAACAGGCAGGCTTCTAAAAATATCTGCCTGTTTGGACGGCTATATTTGAAACAGGTGAAGGTGTAGAAGTTTGGATTGGGCCCTGGCAGGCTCTGGGGCCCGTGGTCTGGCCCCACGTGAAGAAATAAACGACACAGGGCCATGTGCGGGGGACTGTGTGCAACAGGTGGGCATGGGACTCAGGATTGGCCAGATCGGAGTAAAACTGGCCCCACAGTGAGCAACAGATGGATCCAAGCTGTTTCTAGTGTTTAGAATGTTCTAGCTGCAGCCTGCAGTGAGGAGTTCTCTTCCCTTCGTTTTTTTTGTTTTTTCTCGCGTGTTTTTCCCCTTAAACAATGCGTTTGTTGACTCGCAGTTCTGCAGGCTAGAAGCCCGGAAGCAGGGTGCCCTCAGGGCCATGCCCTCGGCCTGGGGAAGGATTGCTCCAGGTCCCTTCCTTGGCTTGTGGCCGCACAATTGCAAGGTCATGTGGCTCTCTCCCGGGGTGTGTGTCTTGTGTCCAAGCTGCCCCCTTTCCTGCAGGATCACATGCTCTCGGCCGGACTGCCCTCTCTGCCCGTTTTCCTGCCTGTGGCGTCCCAGTCCGTCTTCTCTGAGTCCCATCTCTGTCCCCTTCAGTGCAAGTTGGCACCGTTTTTGCTGCGACCATGTACTGGACCCGCAGGCCACGTGCCTAAATCGCTCAGCACACGGCTGTCCGGCCACACCCTTGGTTTCCTTTCGCTGAACAATTTCTTTTGCGCGTTATCGCCGTCCTCTTGCATTTTACGTTCTTAAGGCTGAAGTTCACGATCAAGGTGTCCGCGGGGCCGTGATCCCGCTGAGGGCGCTGGGAAAGGATCGGCTCCTAGCCGGTGCCTTGGCTTGGGGCCACGTAGCTCCGATTGGCACATGGCATTCTCTCTGTGTGCGTCTTCACCCTGGTTCCGAGGGCAAGACAGCGCTCATCAGTCCTCGCTCAGGCCCACCCGACCTCATCCTCGGGACAATTTAATCAATCCTATTCCTCCTGTTGTCTTCAGGGCTGATTCAGAGTTGTGTGCGTGTGTGTGCGTGTGCGTGTGTGTGTGTGTGTGTGTGTGTGTGTTGAGGCAGAGCGGTGGGTGGGGACCAGGCCTCAAAGGCCTTGGCCCTGAGGGTGCAGTGCTGGGGGATCCTGAGAGGAGAGGGAGGGGGGCCGGGCAGTGGAGGGACAGAGGTGGTGAACTTACTGGGAAGGGCAGGCTGAGGCTTAGAGATTCAGGGAAGAGACGAAACAGAAGCCAAGCTTGGGGTCCTGAGGCGTTTCTCGTCCTCCAGCGCCCCCAGGCCCGGCCCCGGATGAGTGCTCGGGAGCAGCTGGAGAGGATCCGTAGGAACCAGGAGTGCGGACGGCCTCTCCCTCGCCCCACTTCTCCGCGGCTCCTCACTCTGGGGAGGACCCTGTCCCCCGCACGATGCCAGCCTGACGTGGAGCAAAGGGTGAGGGGAGCAGAGAGGGCGGTGGGGTGGCGGGGTGTGAGGCTCATTGTCCCTCTCCGGAAAATGGGGGTGCTCCCTTCCTACCCAGAACCGGGTTTCCCAGTTCCCCCCGGCTTGTCCCTTGTGCCAAAGGCAGCGTCCAGGCCCCTTCTCGGTGGGGGACGGAGGTGGGCAGATACAACATCCCCAGCTCACCAGGCATCTAGGCTTCTAGGGTCTAGATTGCAAGCCTGAGCTTTCTTTTCAGTACTCTGTGTTGTCAGAGGCAAAAAAGAAAAAGGAAGAATCAGGGGATCGTCTCAGTCAAACGAACCCAAACGTGTGTCTCTGTCTAGCCGGTTTTGGGGCACAGGCCGTCCAGCCAGTCCTGTGTGAGGTAAAGGGGGAATCCGCAGGGTCGGTTCTGGCTTTGTCACAGGTAAGCGAGGTGCGGCCTCTGTGTCTGCTTGAGGTCTACGGCGAAGGAGGGTCTTTACCCCTAAAGTTAATCATTGCCAGTGTTTTGAGGCTGTTTCAGCCCCTCTCTGCGCCTCCTTCATTTCACCCTCACAGTGGGAAGGGGGGCTCCCAGGTGAGGAGGACTGTGCCCCGTTTTTTTTGCAGCCTGGCCTGGGACACGCCGGAACCCAGAAATGGCTCAGAGGCTCCGGGTCCTGGAGCAGGTAAGGAACTGGGGTGCCCGCAAGGAGCGGATAAATCAATTTCCCAAGGGGAGGCGAGTAGCTTTGTTATTTATGTCCCCCGAGTTCTGAGGTGCAGATTGCAGCCTTTTATTATTATTTTTTAAAAATTTTAAATTCATGAGGGAGAGAGTGAGAAACATCTCTTGGTTGCTGTACACGCCCTGACTGGGTGGGGATCGAGCCTGCACCCTGGGCATGTACCCTGACCTAGAATCGAACCCGCCACCTGTCGGTCTACGGGATGACGCTCCAACCAACTGAACCACCCGACCAGGATGACTGCAAAACCTTCTAGAGTTCCCGGGGCATCAGAAAGCCCTGGATCCCCAGTGAGAACAGCAGTCCCCGCAAACTGCAACCCTGGCTGGATATCAACTCCCCCCCGACCATCTGGAAATGGGGTGAAAGTTACTGGTGACGGGAGGGGAGATTCCATGGTGCACAGTAGCTTTTCATGCCGGCCTGGCCAGGTTCAAAGTCCTTGGACGTGTTATTTCCTTTGTGTGGAACTTGTGAAGAGACCTTCCCCTGGCGAGGGCGTTTGAGAGTTCCTTGGGTGCTGTGATTTCAAAGTGACTGTGCTTTTTAAAGCCCTCTGTGGGGAGGGACACGGGAAGGAGACTTCTATTTCATTGCATCTTTCAAAGAGTGCATATCACTTCAGAATGGAAACTCCGGCTGATACACTGCCAATAAGATTAGAAAATCCTAGGAAAGACTTTATTTATTTATTTTATTATTTTAATCCTCACCCGAGGATATTTTTTTTACTTATTTTAGAGACAGAAGAAGGGGGAGAGAGAGGGAAAAATCAGTCTCCCTTATCTGCCCCGCCCAGAGGTCAAACCCGAAACCTAGGTGTATGCCCTGACGGGGAATCAAACCCACAACCTTTTTGGTACCTTGGACGACAGTCAACTGAGCCGCCTGGCCGGGAGGCAATTCTCATTCCTCACAGATTCCACATTTTCCAATTCCCACTTGCCAAAAAAGTGCTGATCGATGTTTCTCTTTCATCCAATGTTTCTAAACTCTCTATTCCTCTCCCTTCCTCTCTGTAAAAAATCAACAAAATATATTTTTAAAGTCCTTGAAGACACGTGCTAAGGACTACAACTCCCAGAAGGACACGTGGGGGCACCGCAGTAATCACTGTCCTAACTGCTGGTCTCCCCCAAATCTTTTTTTCTAGTTCGAGGAACACCACCCCTTATATTCCCATGTCCGAAGGTCATCGGGAGCGAGTCCTCAGCCTCTCTCAAGCTCTGGCCACCGAGGCCTCGCAGTGGCACCGGATGATGACAGGTGGGGCGGGGGGACGGGCGGGGGACCTAGGGCTCCGGTTTTAGGGAAGGGGAAGCCTGAGGCCTGGAATCCTAGCTCCCGGTGGGAAGGGATCGCGGGCCCCTGGAAATTCTTTGTCCTGATGAGGAAAGAGCTGCACAGCCTTTGGGAGTTCTAGACCCCAGGCAGCAGCGGGGTGGGGCCCGGCGCTCCTGGGTCGGAGAGAAGAAAAGCTGGGGGTCCGGAACCTCGGGCCCCCCATTTTGCCCTTCTCACCCCTCCCTCGTCCTCTCCAGGTGGAAACTTGGACCCCGGAGGCGAACCTCTTCCCCCGGTGCCGCCGCCTCCGTCAAACCCCAAGCCCCCGCTGCCCTCGCCCCCACGATC